TTTCCCCATTTCCTACAGAAATGGAAAGAATTTTACTCTAGTTTCATTATTGGATGGTAGGTATCCTCATTTAGTGCCTACAAAATAGTTTTATTTTCATTTTAGTTAACCCATAAAATCCCATACGGTTAAATTTACCAAGAAAAGTGGAACTTTATAATTCATAATTTACTTGTAGTTCAATGATATAGTTTCAACATAGCAAAGGTGTTTGTTTACTAACTTAAGTTTATTCCTGGGATGGGAAATCTTACTAGGTATTGCTGTGGTTGGCAACTAGTAAAAGATCCAAGGAGATCTACTCAATGGGATTAGGCTATGCAAACAAAATGCAAACTAGAATTTCTACTTTGAACCTGGTGACATAACTGTGCCCAGCACTGAGCTCCACACCCTCGCTCTTCATCCTCATGGTGGGAAAATGAAGGTACCTACCAGTTCCCTTTTGTTTCCACAGATATCTGTGAAAATAAAGATGGATTTCCAATGTCTTGCCTTCATTTCTTTCCCCTTTTGCTTCCTTCCCGCCGCCGTTCCTTCTTTCCTTCCCTCCGTTCCTAGCTAGCAGTAGTATTGAGGGTTTTTCCTCTGAATTTTGTTCAAAATTCTCCTTCTGAGAAAATAGAAAGAGGCTAAATGTAGGCAAAATAGTAGTGATGTGAGTCTGCATCCAGCAGTGGCAGCCGCTGGCGGACCTCAGGTGTGGTTCGTGCCCACTTCCAGTGTTTGCTTATCTAGTAACCATTCTGTCTGCCCTGGTAGTGAGAGCGTAAGTGCCTGTTTTCCACTGGCCACTCACGTCTTTCTGATATTGTCTTTCTGTGCTCCAATAATGTTTTGTGGGCATTTCGTTCTTACTAAAAAGTGAAAAGGAGCTGGAGATGGAGGGGGCTTGTCACTCAACAGTCACCACCTCACACGTACTGGTGCACTGGAACAGAGGGGCCAGGGAGCACAAAGAGGCCACAGACACCTGCAGGCTTCTTTCATCCTCCCTGGATCTAGAATGTGCTGTCCCTTGCTAAGGAAATGATCAGGCTTCGCTTCCTGTGCTGACATCTGCTTAGTCTATTGATCTGTATTAGGGGTGGTGAGTGTGGCAGCTTGTGCGCTGCACCCAAGGAGGCTTGGAGAAGTTGCTTATCTCTAAAGGGAAAAGAAAACAAATTTTCCATGCTGATGGTAATTCCCTGCTTGCTTTAGCTCAGCCCTTCCCCTGTGGGACCTGACGTTCTAGGGTGGCTGGATGTCTTGGGGTGCGTTGGCTGGCATACATCCTCAGAGGCAGCTGGAATACAAGCAAAGTGCACAGGATTTCTGAAGCTGAAAAAATGTCACAGGGCCTTTCGCTCTGGTCTTGTTTAAGATACTTACTATGAGGATGAGCAGGTGCTCTTGTAAAATTCTGGAACAGGAGCGATTTGCTTTTTGAGACAAGGTCTCCCAGTGTAGCCCGGCTGGTCCTGGATTCCAGGTGACCCTCCTGCCTCAGCCTTTGGAGTGGTGGGATTACAGTTGTATGCCTACATACCCAGCCATAAACAATTTATTTTAGCAACTAAAAATGTGAATTTCTAGGGAAATAATAAGCGTGCTATAGACCTTGATCACACAGCCAACTAAGAACACAAAAGGAGATTTTAGGAAAATGCATAGTATTTTCACATTTTAAGTAATTTTAATAAACTTTAATGCTATGCTAAATACCAAATTTAGAAAACCCCAGGAGATTGTCAACATGAGCATTTGATCTCATGGGATTTGAGGTTAAGAATATTAAATGCCAAGTGCTTCAAAATCTTCTGTTCTTAATTTGTTTTGTTGAATGAGTTTGACAATAGCTATTAATATAGCCAACAATCACGCAGTAACTTCATATTTAAATTATACCAAATGAAATAGGTTATAAAATTTGAAATTTGAAGAAATAGCGAACAAAAATCTTTTTTCTCTAAGCCAGCAGATGGGGATGTTGGAGAAAATATGGTTCTTCATAAAACTGTTGCATACACCAAATGTCTTTTAAGATCTCATACACAGAGATAGCAAAACTGAAAGACATAAATGGCATCTACCTTGAAGAAATGAATTCAAAATACTATGTTTGAAAAATACTTTCTTACATAATTCTTATAAATTTGATTTACAGAGACATATAGTATTAGCATAGGTGATAAATACCCTTAAAAAAGAAAGAATTCTCAGGCTGGAAAAATAGAATGGCGGTCTGAGTGCCTGCCTGACAAGCATAGGGACCTGGGTTCGATCCCCAGTACTGCGTGTCATGCGGGCCCTGGAACCCTGGGCATGCCTTGCTGATCACCCAAACCAGGTGTGGTAGTCTACATCGGTAATCATCTGGGGAGGCTGAGACAGGGGAGTCACCATGAGTCTGAAAAAATAAAAGAAAAAGAAAAAAGAACACACACAAAAGAAGCAATTTTTAATTTATGTAATTTTTTTCAGGTTTTAAAGCATCACACTTGAATGCATATCTTTGAATTTTAGTCCTGAATTAATGTGATGGATTTTTTGCATTCATAATGTTGACATTTCTTTTTGATCTTTAAAATGTAATTTAAAACTATGTTGTACCAGTACAATATGTTAATCTTGCAGATGTAAAATTTTCATCAACTGTTAAAGCATTTGCAAAAGCCACACATCTTACTTCAGCTTTATTGCACAATATCTATAAGAAAATATTAATTTTTAAATTAGAAAACATAAAAATGCTTTCAATATAGGTGAGACAACCTGATTTTAAAGACAATACTCTATGTCTACCCAGAAAATAATAAAC